ATACAAGGATGTCTGCAAGTGGGATCTGAAGGCCTTAGGAATGGACCTCAACAGATGGGAAACGTTGACATCTGAACGTTCAGCCTGGAGGCAGCCAGTGCATCATGGCCTCTCCCAGTTTGAAGAGACCCTTGTCCAGCAGGCCAAGGCAAAGAGGCAGTCCCGAAACCAGCAAAATCAGGGAGCAGGACAGGGGACAGATTGGATTTGTCTTTAGTGTGGAAGGGATTGTCACTCTCGAATTGGCCTTCTCAGCCACATTAGATGCTGTTCCAAGACCTCTATTCAGAACACCTTTCAGAGTCCATGGGAATGAGCAGGAATTTTCTCATCAATTGCAGAGAGTGGAGCCACTGTTTACCTTTGTTTAGATGATGTCTGTGTAACGGGGTAGTCTCTGTAATATGCATGCTTCTGCACTGCAGTTTTTACAAGGGTGCAAGGGATAGAGTATTGCACCTGATTCTGCTACAGTTTCCTGTTGGATCCAAAGTAAGCCTTCTGGCCATAAGTCTAAATGAGCATGGCCCTTTGGTGGACATTACTGACTAATTTTTAAATATTAAACTGATATTAGAACAAAGATGCTGAAAGAGATTTTTGTCTATGAAGTATTCAGTTATGTAAAAACTTTTGGGTTTGTTGCCTGAGTCTGTGTATTCTTTATGATCGACTGACCAATAAATATTTGACTACTGTTTATACTTCTAAAATGTAGTTATAAGACCGCCCACAACTCACATCAACAGCTTGCTTCATCAGGTTCATCTGAGGTTCCTGCTTTGCTAGCATTCTCTAATGATCAGAAAGGAGAAAAGGCAATGTTAGCATATAGTGTTTTAGGTACAGCTTGCAGAACTGACTTTGTTTGGAGCTTAGCTCTCAGAATATCTCTGTCAAAACAGCCAGCTTCCATACTAGCTGGGAGATTCTGAAAGCTATAGTCCAAAAAAGCAAAATTTTCAAGCTCTGTTCTTAGAACTGGGGGAAGAACATGCTGCGTAGTAGGATACTTACAAGGTGAGAATCTCTCAGTAACTGCTGAATGCATTTGGTGTATAGTGCGTTGACAGAATCCTGAAGATGAAAAAAAAGACTAATAAGAATGTTTACAAAGAAAGAGAAGGAAGTTTGCATCATCACCTACGTTGTTTGATTAGTATATTGTTTCTATTATATCACTCCAGCGGTATAAAACCAAAAACTCTTCCCATGGCAATGGTACAGAATGCCTACATTGTGTTGGAGCCTGTTTGCAACCTCACAGGCTATCTGTGGTTCATGAGACTGGAGACGTTAAGTGCCAGTTAATGAGAAAGAGGGGGACTCTGGGGAACTCGTAGCTCTTCTCGTCTGTGGATTTCTGTGCTTCCGCTGTGTAGCAAAAAGGAATGCTACGAAAATTCAAAACTCTGCAACATATTCTTTGTTTGATTTAATGTGTATTTTGCAAATCAAATGTGATTCTGGGAGGCTACAGTGTCCCACCTTAATGTGTGAGAGGTACCAAATGAACTAGTTTATGCAGCGTAAGCTTTTGTGGACTGCAGTCAAACTGGTCAGACACAACAATTATAGACTAAGTAATGGGCTGATATCTAGGCAGGGCTTCACCTTAAAGACATTTAAAAACAAATTGTAACCTAAATCCATTACATTTGTGTAAGCTTGTCTATGAGTAAATGTATTTCCGATGCAAGCAGCATAAGCTTTAACAAGATACCTTCTCACACAAGAGATGAGAAAATATTTCTTCATGACAGCACCCACCACCTCCTGTTGCATATTTCTACAAAATTTAGGCCTGTTGAAAGCAGAGATACTGACTATGTAATGGCGCAAGATTTTCCTGTCATGCTCCTTGAAAGTCCTGTGGAAAGATGCAATTGCTTTGTCAAATTTTTCCGTATGTCTTCCCAAGAACTCTCTCACATCTTCAATGTTTTTCAGGGAGTAAGAATTTGATGAGGCTGAAGATTGTTCTGAAACATAAGACAGGCGTCGGAAACCAGAAATATCTCTAGTTGAATTCAGAAGTAGCAGCAGTCCACATTCTTCTCCACACACACACACAAACACACACATAAAGGGGAACAAACTTAAAGAGTATCTTATTGCTCAACATGTCTCCACTCTGGAAAGTTGGTCCTTCTAGCAAACAAGATTTCTTATGAAGGTGTTTCATGCAGATCTGGAAGGGTAGTTCAGCTTTCATCTCCCCTGATGAAAGGTTTCTAGTATTGCCTTCCAGTATAAATAAATAGTATGCTCAAAATATATAGCGAAAGCTGGCAGCCTATGGTTATCCAGATGCTGCTGATCTAAAACTCTCATCTTTCTTTCCCACTGGTTCTCTCGACTAGGGATGACCGGAGTGAGAACCTAATAAGAGAACATAGATGCTGACATATTTCCCAGCCTGGCCTGTGTGAATGCCTTCAAAAGGGTGGCAGCTTCAAAACCAGCTGAACCGAGACCAGCAAACTTGTAAAGTGTGGCAGGACATTTTGCTGCCTGACTGCAGAGAAAAACACCACTAACCTTTGCTCTCATTTTTTTCCAGAGAATGAGCTATACAAAGGATGCTAAAGCTCTCTTCTTTCTCATTGTAGAACGTTTCCTCAAAGAGAACAGGCACAGAGGAATGATGGCTAAAGCCAGAACCAAGTATGATCACATTGCCTTGTATGAAGATTTCCTAAAGGGACAGGAGGGAGAAAAGAATCAGATCACTAGAAACCAGGAGCTGGAATTGTGCAGCCTGTATGAAGCCCGCCAAGGACTGTTGTGCTCATCTCCTTAGAGCCCCACACCCACACCATCACTTAAAAATTAGGGGAGGAATGGATAAACTCCCTTCCAGAAACCTCTAAGGCACCAGTCATGCTATTCAGTATTATTCTCCCTGCAACATTTTTTGATCCCAGAAGAGCAACACCAATTTGCCAAAAGGGGCAAGTATAGCCCCAAGAGATTCAAGGAAAATAAAGAAGGGTGGGGGACAGCCTACAGGCCCTTCCCAGTTGCCTTTCCATTACTGTAAACACTAGAGATATCCATTTAAATTTACAAGAATATGGATTTAAACACTAGTTAGTCATTTAGCATTCCCTGAGCAGTTGTATTTTGGAAGTGCTCTTAGCTTGCTTGGTGAAAAGACCGAAATGTTCATCCATCTTTGGATAAGAACCTTGAAGACTTCCCTCCGAGCTTTGGAAATACTAATCCTTTGTTTAAGTACTAATATTCTGTTTAAAATCTAATTTATCCCATGCAAGTTCATGCGACTACAAAGATATAGTTATGAGGCATCATGTCACTGACTATGGTACCAGATTTCACCACCAAATGCTAGGTACCTTTCCATTCAAGGTCTGAAAGTTTTTCTCCACTGCTTTGAGAACATAAGAGTCAAACTGGCAAGCAGAGACGAAACTGCTTGAAAGACTTCCTTTGCATGGCACTAATACCTGGAGAAGAAGAAACACAATGTCAGGAGGACACATACCAAGCTACACCCTAAAAGCAAAATGGTGACACTAGATCATGATATTAAGGCATAAAAAATATAAAAAATCTGATCACTATGAAATACAGGCAATGCTCCAATTACTTGTCAGAACATTTCCTTCATTTTATCACAATGACAAAGACGTCGGCAAGCCAGGAGAAATATCAGCCAAAGCAATGAATTGCCCAGTGTGAAGGCCAGGATCTCCTTGCATTCCACATACAAAAGCTGACTGCTCTTCCCAGCTGAACCTTACTTCAATAGTGGCATCCTTCATCACACCTACGAATGAGGGAATGAAGACAGTCCATGTATACATCACAGCCCCCTGGTAAAAAGAAATGGCCAAAGGACAGCCATGTAGCTGTCCTGGGTAGCTGGAAAGGGGAGGTGACACGACCAGGTCACTGAAAGGGAAATCAACAGGCATCCAAGACCTGACCCTCGATGAACATACCTACAGTATGTGGCTGGCATGATAGAAATGTGGCCAAATGAAATCGGGCGAGTCGATCTTTCCCAACTCTGCCCACTTGAATCCTTCATGCAGCAGCAGATGACATCTCAGAAGCAGACTTGCAAAGGTCTGTTGTGATTCCATCACTCTCACATGCAAGTACTGGAGTTTCCTAGGTTTAATGGATTTATTTCAAACTGTCCAGCCCCTGTGAGTGCCGAATCCTGGCCCTTCCTGGCTCATAAAAACAGCAGAAGTGAAGGAATGGCTAAGGAGGTAAGGGGAGCTGTACATACCTCTTTATTACACAGCACCGTTCTATGCTGCCTTAAAAAAAGGAGGCTGTAAATCCTTTTCTGAAAAAAGCTCTCTCTGAACTTCTACTCTCTGCACAGGCTAGACTCCAGTATTCTATATTTAGGCAAGGTAATGGAGCATGCAGTGCCTTCTCAGCTCCAGGGATTTCTGGATGAGTTGGATTATCAAGATCCATTTCTATCTGGCTTTAGGCCTGGCCATGGGACAGAGACAGCTTTGGTTGCCTTCAAGGATGATCTGTACTCAGTAGAGGATGGGACATGTGCTCTTTGGGTACAGCTGGATCTCTTAGTGGCTTCTAATATCAACCACAGCATCCTTCTGGATTGTGTCTATGGGTCATCTCTGGATGACCATCTTGTTCTCGTCTTTTCTGGACAGGCAAACTTAGAAGATGTGCTGGGGGAAATTCCTGTTCAATACCTTGGCAGTAGGGTCTCTCAGGATTCTGTTCTGTCCTCATGCTATCTAACTCGTACATGAAACCACTGGGAGACTGACTAATGTTTGAGGCTTTGATGCCACCAATATGTAGACAACACACAACTTTCTGTCTGATTTACATCTAACTCTGAATAAGCCATTTTTCTAAACCAGTCTATTGAATGAGGATGAACAGACTGAATTTTAATCCAGTCAGGACAGAGGTATCTCCAATTAGTCAAATGACAGAATAAAGAATCAAATGATGAATGAGGATGAACAGACTGAATTTTAATGACAGAATAAAGAATCAAATGGTATTGGATGGGGTTACAGTCTTACTGAAAACTCAAGGTTTGCAAATTGGGTGTACTCCTGGATTCATCTCTGAGCCTGAATGCTCAAGTCTTGGAAGTTAAGGCCTGTGTACCAATTGCACTCATTTGCAGAAATATGTGACTAGGTTCTGGCAATGCACGCTTTAGATGCTTGGATTACTACAGTGTACTTTATATAGTGCTTCGAAAACTGTTTGGAAGTTTAAGCTGGTTCAAAATGCTGCAGCCAAACTGCTGACTATAGGTTGGTCATAGTGACCATACAATTTCCCTGCTGTAACAGCTTCACTGGCTAGCAATCTGCTCCCAGGCCCAATTCTATGTCATAAATCAATCATTACAGGGCTGAGATCCTATATGGCTTGGGTCCAGGATATTTGAAGGCCTGCATTTTTCATGACTTCTGAGATCTTCCCTCTATTCCACTGCCTATATAGGCATTTTTGGAAATATACAAGAGAGTTTTATAAATGGCTACTGCAGACTATGGAACTGCCAAATAAAGCTGGCACACACTCCACCCTTCCACTAACAGGCAAAAAACTTCATTTCTAAGCAGGCATTTTATATTGAATGCTTTGGTGAGAAACAGGTTTTTAGTTGAGGGTGCAGTACACTTTCCTATTTTATTATACATTTTCAACTATTGTTTCTGAGTAGCTTTTAAAATTGCTGTATGTATAATCACATTTTAAATATTTTAAATACTATTGTTTATTGCAATATCAGTTGTACACAGTTTTAGTTACAGTGGTGCCCCGCTAGACGATTACCTCGCAAAATGGTTAATTCGCTAGACTATGAGTTTTTGCGATTGCTATAGCGCTTTGCAAAACGGTGTTTCCTATGGGCAATTTTCGCTAGATGATGTTTCGGACCTTGCTTCGCAAGATGGTTTTTTGGGGGGACCGATTTTCGCAAGACGATGATTTTGACAGCTGTGTCAATGACTCGCAAAACGGGTGTTTTAGGGACCACTTTTCACAAGACAGCTATTTTTACAGCTGATCGCAAAACAGTTTCTCTATGGGCGGTTTTTGCAAAATGATGATGATTTTTCCCTATTGGAAACCATTAAATGGATTTCAATGCATTCCAATGGGGAACCGCATTTCGCAAGACAATGTTTTCACAAGACAGCGATTTTTGCTGAACGAATTAACATTGTCTTGTGGGGCACCACTGTATTTGCAAGCTGTCTCAGATCCTCTGTTTGGAGAAAGGCAGGATTGAAATAAAGCAAACAACACAGTAAATAAAATTACTTCATTGAAGGATAAAAGTGGAATTATTTTGTCTCAAGTCCTTAAGCCTGTTACTTCACTTTCTATTCTCAAAAGAGCCTAGACATAGGTTCAAGTGCTCAGGAATACATTCTAGATAATGCTCTTCTTGAGTGTCTTGTAGAGTTTCAATTTTTGGGTACCCTCACCACATGTAGGTCACTAAAGGGACTTCCTCTCATAGCCCTCTGTGGTGGGCAAAACATTTGGATGCTCTTACAGAGTGCCATCCTTTCCAACTATGCACAGCCTCTATACCTCTAGCATTCCAAACATGGATGTACAGCAACCTTCCCCAAGCTGGTGCCTTCTTGACTTGTCCCATCATCCATAAGTGCTGACCAAAGCAACTGACACTAATGAGAGCTGTAATACAAAACAACTTGGGGGTCCAAGCTGGAAAGCTGGCATGTACAGAATACGTGGGCAAATACTGTAAGCAGGAATGAATATTTTATAATATGCTACTCAAAAGGAAGTGGGGATGTATTGGCAGTTTTCCATATGTGTTAAATTGGCCCCAAGAATGTGCAGCCATATTGGCACTTGAAAGAAGCTCTGTTTCCTGAAAGCATCCAATTTTACTTACAATCCCATGCAATTCTGCAACTTTCCGACAGAGATCAGGTCGACGCTTCTGCATTGCTAAATAAAAAGGGTTCTTCAAGAGATCTTCATCATACACAGCCATAGGGGCCTCCCAAGTATCAGCTGTTGAGACTTTCTGGAAAATAACATACACATATAAAAGAGCGTCAAGTTGGTGGTTTCATAATGCCTTTTTAGAAAGGTGCTGCCTAAATTTGATTCATGATCACAGGATCCAGCAACACATACAAAAAAACCCAAAACATTATTCAGAAGTCTTTCACCTAAGTGCCGTATTTTATCACTATACTACAGTCTCCATAACTGTGCAGCATTTACTTTCCACTTTTATTTGAAAGGACATCTGAAGATTCAGAAGTCTTTCACCTAAGTGCCATATTTTATCACTATACTGCAGTCTCCATAACTGTGCAGCATTCACTTTCCACTTTTATTTGAAAGGACATTTGAATATTGAGATTTCTAGAGGATCCTGTGCTTCATTATGAAAAAATTAGACAAAACACATTTTGTATGTTTAGATTTCTACAAAAAAATCCATAAGGGGAAGAAGCCTAAAGTCACTCATTCCAGTAAGGCAAATCCTCTAATAATTTGTTGATGAAATATCTGGGCCATTAAGTTCTGTTTGTAAGATGAAGGAGTCCCCATGCTGGAATACAGTCTCTAGAGCAAGGGTCTCAAACTCAATTTACCTGGGGGCCGCTGGAGGCAGAATCTGGGTGAGGCTGGGCCACATGAGATTTTCCGCCAAGCGGAGCAAGAGCCCAAGGAAGCCACCCAGGAGTTTCCTTAGCCTGGCTGGGGCTCTGAGGAGGAGGAGGAGCGTGCAAGCTGTCGTCGCCAGCCACAACCCCCTCCAGCTCCTTCTTCACTACCACCAGCAGCAGCAGCAGCAGGACAAAGAAGCAGAGAAGGGAGGGATCGCCGGTGACCACCTAGCAGGGTGGGGAGGAGGGCATGACATAAAATTAAAAAAAAAAACACCACAGAATTCTCCTTGCCAAAGGAGAAAAGCTCCCATCAGTACCCATGAAATTAAACAGAATGGGGTGGGCCCCCCACAGGTACACACATCAGAGTGCGCGCACACGCACGCACGCGCACACACACACACACACACACACACACAGGTCTGGCAACCTTCCTCTGAGGGCCCCCTCAAAAAAGGTGCACTTAGCAGCAGCAGCTACTCCCACTATGACAGAGGAGCAAACTTTGCGAGGCAAGGCCAGGCAGCCTCCAGAGCCAAGGAGGCTGAAGCAGGAGGAGGAGGAAGCACTGCCGGCTGCAGAGGCGGCCGCTGGCCGGGCTGGTGCTGGGGGTGCCGAGAGAGAAAGAGAGCCAGAGAGCCACTTCCCTGGAAGAGGAGGCGGCAGCTGCTGTTGGCGGCTTGGAGGTGCTCCTCGAGGATGGGCCGGGAGTGAGCTCCGCTCTCAAGCATTGCTCAGCGGTGGGTCGGGCGCTCGGAGAAAAGGGACGGCAGCGCGCCTTGCTCGCCGGCTCTCCCCCACAACAGCGCCTCTTGCACTCTCCATCCCAAACTGCAGCCTGCCAGTCAGCAGACAGAGCCGGCCAGTCAGCAGACGGGCGGGCTGGCGGGCAGGCTGCAGTTCCGGATGGAGGGTGCAAGAGGCGCTGTCTTGGGAGAGAGCCGACGAGCGAGGCGAGGCTTTCTTTCACTCTTGATAGCAGAGGATGTGTGGGTGCTTTGGGAGGGGAGGCAAGTCAGGGGTCACAAACTCTCATCCGGCAGGCCGCAAATGGCCCCTGGGCCGCATGTTTGAGACCCCTGTTCTACATGTAGTCATTAGCGTATTCACTGGTCAAGTACTAATTGTTAAGGGTTCCTATTTTATAGAATTGTAGAACAATTGAGTTGGAAAGGGCCTATAAGGTCACCAAGGCCAACCTCCTGCTCAATGCAAGCACCCAAATCAAAGCAGATCTGACATGGTTGTCCAATTTTCTCTTGAATGCCTCCAGTGTTGGAGAGCTCACCACTTCCTGAGATAACTGGTGCCACTATCATAATGCTCTAACAGTTCAGAGGTTTTTCCTTGATATTCAGTCTACATCAGGCTTCCTGTAACTCAAACACATTCTCACTTGCCCTGTAATCTGGAATGATCCTGCACTTCCTCTGTATGACAGCCTTTCAATTGTTTGAAAAGTGCTATCCTATCACCCCTCAGTCTTTTTTTTCTCAAGGCTACACATGCCCAATTCTTTCAGCCTTTCTTCATAAGGCTTGGTTTCCAGCCACATGACCATCCTCGTCACCCTCCTCTGAACTTGTTCCAATTTTTAGCATATTTTTTGTAGTGTCCAGAAGTGGACACAATACCCAAGGTGAGGCCAAACCAGTGCTGAATACAGGGGGACTAGCACCTAGCAACATGAATTTGACCAAACTCCGGGAGGCAGTGGAGGACAGGAGGGCCTGGAGTGTTCTGGCCCATGGGGTCACGAAGAGTCGGACATGACTAAACGACTAAACAACAACAAGCACCTTGTGGGATTTGGGAACTATACTTCTGTGAATGCATCCTAAAATAGCATTTGCCTTTTTTGCAGTCACATCACACTGTTGGCTCATATTCAGCTTTCGATATACTCCTCCCCCATTTGGAGAAGTTTTGTTATTTTTTAAAAGAGATGGAATATTAACTTATTTTTCACAATGCACATCTCTTTCTCTGCTTCAACCTTTTCTTCAAGGCACACAAAAAAAAATCACACGACAAAAATTGTTAGCTTCTCTCTAAAGCATGACCACCTGCTATGTCATGTCTACCAAAGAAGCTACTGTACATCCATCCTGCAATGAATTCCCCTTTCTAGCCCTTCACGCTTTAACTTCTCTCACTTTGTCCAAGTGTCAGAAACACCTCACCTGCAGGACTTCCACCTGATCTCTCTCTCCCCCCTGCAACACTGGGGGACTCGTCATCTTAAAACTCACCAGCCACAGAAGGACCAAAATAATGTAGTCCACACACACACAAAAAACCCTCACCTCATTCCACCAATCCCCACACAAAGCTTGGCTAGGTAAAAGAAGCAGACCAGTTTGAGAGTACAGTGGTACCCCGCTTGATAATTACCCCGCTCCACGACGATTACCCTGCTCCACGACACAAAAATGAGGTTTTTGTGATTGCTATTGCGATTGCAAAACAATGTTTAAATGGGGAAAATTCGCTTTACGACGATCGGTTCCCTGCTTCGGGAATTGATTCTTCACTAAACGACAATTTTAAAACAGCTGATCGGCAGCTCTCAAAATGGCTCCTCGCTGTTTTTAGGATAGATTCCTCGCTTAACAGGCACCGGAAAATGGCCGCCCTATGGAGGATCTTCGCTGCACGATGAGGTATTTCGCCCATTGGAACGCATTGAACCGGTTTTCAATGCATTTCAATGGTTTTTTTTTTTTACTTTCGCTTGAAGACAATTTCGTTCTACGGCAATTTTGCTGGAACAGATTATCATCGTCAAGCGAGGCACCACTGTACAAAGGAAGGAAGAGAGAAAACAAAAATTTGCTTTACACTGAGGAAGACCATTGCTCAATCCAGCCCAATGGCTCTCCAAGGTTTTGGGCAGAATTCCTTTTTCCATCTGCCTGGAGACCCCTGATATGACTTGACTTCCCATCCACATCCTAATTGGCCCAAATTTACTTAGCAATTGAAAACAGAGAAGATCTCTGTTTTAGGACGGTATAACCAGATGAAATGGCAGCATACTGGAGCGCAAACTATAGCACTTATGTATGATTCCATAGTAGATTCAAATTAGATTCCCCCCCCACTTCAAAATGTATGGAAAGCCTCAAAGTATAGGTTTCCCATAATTATCTACCCACAGGAACAGTGTCTGCCTTGTTCTGAACCAAGCTCTGGCTCAGCAATAGCCTTCATTTTCTTGATTGATGCTCTTCCCAGGTTGCTCTTATCCAATTCTGTTCTTTCCTGGACTCCCCAGGTCTCTTCCCCACTTCAGGTTTTTCCCCTCACCACCTCTACCAGAAAGTGTCTCAGAAAAATTTCTTATTGCAGGTGAAAGCTGTTTTCCCCACAGTAAATGAAAAACAGTAAATGAAATGGGACAACAGTATTTCCATTTTAAGAGCCTTCTAAAAGCACCACCTATTCTTTGTGCAGCTCCACTGTATGAAAAAACATGAGGCTATACTTCAAAGCAGTCAAAAGCAGTGCTGGCTCTACCATTCGGTAGAATGAGATGGTTGCCTCATACAACAGATTTTGTTTATTCATTCATTCATTCATTATTTTATTTATATCCCAGCTTCCCCCAAGACAGGAACCTAAAATCACCATCAAAGGTATTCTATGATTCCATGATATATCGACCTTATCATACAAGTTCTCTAGGCCAGTGGTCCCCAACCTTGGGCTTCCAGATGTTCCTAGACTTCAACTCCCAGAAATGCTGGCCAGCAAAGGTGGTGTTGAAGGCTTCTGGGAGTTGTAGTCTAAGAACTTCTGGAGGCCCAACGTTGGGGACCACTGCTCTAGGCAATCCACTGTAAGTAACCTTAAAATACAGCAATAAAATTTATTAATACTGTTCAGAACAGTTCTTACAAACTAATTTGAATTATTACAGTGCGAAGGAGATCCAGAGGAGAGTGTGCCGTCCCAAGAGAAAGAAGGAAAGGAGGGTGGGGAAAAATCCGAGAGTGCGAAAGAGCAGGAGGACCAGAGGGAGAACTTTGCTTCAGAAGAGGGGAAAACGAAATGGGGCAGGAAATTTGAAGTAAGCCTAGTAGAGGAGCGCGGGAACAAGAAAGGGGAGGAGCAGAAGGTGTCAGTCTGGGAAGAGGGTATAAGAAACCAAGGAGAACAGCGGTTCGAGGTAGAACTAGAGTTGTGGAAGCACAAGAGAGAGCTGGAGAGACTGAGAGAGTATGAGAGGGTGAAGACCCAAGAGCTACTGCGCGATTTCCCTAACCTCAAGTTAGGAGGGCTATTACCCGACCCCATCTCAAAGGAAGTGGGAGAGGTGCAACAAGAGACCTTAGAATGGTCAGTCTTCCCCAAGAAAAAGGGTAGGGGACGACAGGTGATCCACCCAGATTCCTGATACAACACTCCTCCACCCGCGGGGGACTGGG